GATTACCATCATCGGGCTGCCGATCACAGCGACGAGACCCCGGAAGAGAAGGACGCTGATGCAGGAAGCTCAAGGAAACGCAAGTGGGAGACTTGGAATAGACTTATTATCCCGTGTTTGTTCTGTGCGAACATCTAGTGATTGAGTTTTGGCTCTATCGACTTGAACTTCACCTGAGGATGACGAGCGGATCATTGAGCGGGTGGATGAGACGAAGCGTTTGCTGTTTACGATGGCCGTTGAAATCGATGCAGACCTGCGGAGGCTCCATGGAAAGGTCAAAGCATTGTTCACCTTGTCTGGACAGTTGCCTGGCGCCGTGCAAATGCGCTAAGATCCGCTGAGATCGATAACAGAAGATAAGAAAAATGCGCGCTAGTTCCGTTTGCGACGGTGGTTCATCTATGTGTTTAATATGGGGAAAGAAAACCACTGAAGAATCCTAGGGTCTGAAGCCTAAGAATTCTAGCGATGAATCCAGGGGTACGAGGGCCAGGATGCCTGGGTGGGAAAAACGGTATCATTAATTCTTGCTCTCTCCAGGTGCATGGCGTGGGCGCCTTGGCGGCTTTGAAGCTGCTTGAGGCAAGCGCAGCAGAGCCAGCGCCCAACGCCAATGACGACCAGTAAGCTGTGAAGGAGCACGAAAATGAACTGTTATATTAATTATGATGGATGAATTGAATTGGATGAATTGAATCGAATTAGTCATTTCCGGCCCAAAGCTTTGAAAGAGTCACTGGGTCGAATCATGAGCTCGTCCAATGGGCCTAATGCTTTTCTTCGTAGAAAAGCACCTCCCTCGCCGCCGCCACCTGGTTTTGTTCCAGCCAAAGTTGCTGCGCCATGTCCAGCGTTTAAAGCTCCTCCAGCCGCTCAACTTATTAAGACCGGTTTCCAAGCTCAATTAGTCTATTCAGGCTGCCCAAACATTGTAACTTTCTCAGGATCAGTGTCCACAGCCTCCACAGCCCGGATGCTTGGACATGCCAGGGTTGCCCTAGGGTTTTGCACTTGGGCATGAGCTTGAACTTGTGCACATCCGTGGAGCAACCCTTTTGAATCCGAGGAATTGCACCGGGAGCCAATGGAGCATTTGATCCAATTAGCACCAGGGCAATCTATGAAAGCATGTCGATCATGCGAGAGATTCAAGCCCTTCAAGCGTGCGTGGAGATTGCTATCCGAGTGACTTGCAAAGCAGGGTTATGGTTTGTCAAGACAGTCATCGTTGTCATAGAACTCGCTTTGACTGTTATGTTGTGTGCAAAGGATCTGGGTACCTATTTCATAAACGTTCTTGATGAGAATATCGAAGATGATCCTGAACGTCAATGGGTGAGCCGCAACTTGAGAAACGTGAGGGCCAATTTGTTGCTCATGCAAGAGCATGTGGACGTTGTTTGTAGATACTTTCGAATAGACGTTATTCACCTGTAAGCATTTTTGCTTTGAATTGGTCCTGGTGGGCGTGTGGTTGAATGACATTAAAATAAAAAACCATCTACTGAATTTCTACCACACTGGTCCACTCATCTATCTTTCAGCTGGCTGTCGCTGTTAAACATAGCTGACAAATGCTGACGAATAAGACATGCAAAAAAAACATGCCCACAGCACAGAGAGACGCCCTTCATTGTCAATGAACATTCATTGGACTCATCATTCATTGGTTGAAAGTCCAGTATTCCGCAGCATCGGCCAAATCAACTGATTATTCAAGTTGTGACTGACACACAAACATTTTTGGAGTAAGGCAAACATGCACATGACAATCTGACGCACAAACATTTTTTGAGTAAAAAGGTTTCGCCCGTCTAGAACGAGTCTAATATCTTAACTAATCAGGTTAGGCCAGGTTTCGCCCATAGCCGGGCCACTGAGTCTTAGAGCCAGGTTTTGCCCGTCTAGGACGGGCTTAGCCGGGCTAGCCAAACTATGTCTTATAACAAATTTGGTAGGAGCCTCTAACCTTTTAAATTGAGCCCGGTTTTGCCCGTCTAGAACGGGCTTATCCGGGCTACTTAGTCAGATTAGTCTTAACTTAACTTAGGTTGAGCCAAGGTTCGTCTAGGAAATCAGGTTAGGCCAGGTTCCGCCAATCTCGCACAGGCATAACCGGACCACTGTGCTGGATGAGTTTTAGAGCCGGGGTACAGGTAGTCAGTTGAGTGGGGTGTTAGAAGATAAATTTGATTCAGTCAAGACAGGTCTGTCACGACATGTCATCATACGCTCGCAGCCTTTGGCTTGGCTTTTCGGATTAGGACAATGCAAGACAAGACAAGACCAGTAGTGACTATAATAAACTGACTGAACAGGCAACGACGACGAGTCACGACTATTATATAAACGAATGGATCGCATGACTCATGAAAATCAGTTTAGAAACAAACAAATGTAATCAACAGCTGGCAGGGTCATCCTCAGTGATTTTAATATATTTTAATGACCGAGCATGCAATGACAGATCTGGATTTCGAAAACGACGAGCCGCTCAAAAAGTGCTCCTGGCAGACTAGGAAGGGCAATGACGATGATGATGATGATGATGGAATGCCTCAGAAAGGCTTGCCTGCTCAGATCCACACTAAAGATGACTTCCAGAAAGGTTGGGAGCGATCCTCTGAAAGAATTCTAAATTCTTTCAGGCTAGGCAGCTGCCTGAAGGAGGCTTCGTTTGCCCACCTACCTGCCGAAGCCGTCAGGCTCGCCGAGACATCTTGGGTGTCAGTGACAAGTTCCGGGCTCCTGTGCGTGGCTTGCAAGCGTGCAGGCCTGCAAACTCCATGGGCAAAAGGGACGGCTGGAAAATCCGTGAAGGATTTGAACTCAGTCTTCAAGACTTCGTTTTTGAAGCGGCATCAAGATTCGGGTGCCCATATTTCCGCAGTGAGCCGGATGTTGGACTTGGATGAGGCCCCAGGTGCTCCGACGGCTGCTGAGTTCAATGAAGTGTGGAAGGAGCTGCAAGAAGGCGCATCTCAAAAGAAGTGGCATGGCGCCAGTTGGAGCGACAAGTCTGGCCTGATGGCATGGGCATTGAATGAATCCATCCTACAAATGGAACAAAACGAAATGGCAGATGCACAGACCATTTCCTTACAGAGAGATGCTCGCAGGGCCTTGTTGTTGATCAAGTTTGGGTTCTGCACGTCCAGTTACCATGTCAGAGGCGGTGTGCTTGGGTGCAAATGCGGTGGAGGAGAGAGATCGGCTGATGTTGTTCGGTCGACAAGGGAAGTCATCCGAAACTTTTGCACCAAATTCAGACACCCTCCACGGTGGTATGATGGACCAAAGCCAGTTTTCCTCGAGACATTGTATGACAAAATCATCAACTGCGTCGAGATCGTCACGTCAGATAGCGCTGCCAATGAAGTGGTCGCAGGCACGACACACATGTCTTCAGTCTGTATAATAACAATGTATAATATGTTTATTAAAATGCTGATCATGCATGTGTTTTGTTTTTGTCTTTGTTCATGTTTCGTTTGCCGGGACCAGGCCTAATCAGTGCCGGCAAGAGGTCGGTCGAAATCGAGGATGACGAGGCAACGGCGCTTCACCCAAATTTAAAGATGGTTGGCCATGACAAGGCCCATTCATTTCGCCGGGTCTTAAAAAGACCGTATGCCGCAGACACCGTCTTGGAGGGGCTGATGGAGAACCATTGCTTGGGAAAAGACTCCATGATTCAGGTCATCAGCAACAGCGCAGACTTCAGATGTTGGTTTGAAGGCTGTGTCAAAACGCAGTCGGCCAGCCAAGGCACTGAAGGCTTTGGGGACAAAGTCAAGAACTTGAGGGCAGCGAAGCACAGGTTCGAATCTGTCTCAACGCTGCTGGGCAGAATGCTGCTCTACTTGCCAGCTTTTCTGATGACGTGCCAGAAAGTGGCCGAAAAAAGAAAGAAAGACAAGGCAGGGCAGTTGGCGCGGCAGTACCTCGAAGACCTGACCCAGGAGCAGCTGGTGCAACTGGCGATGCTGGCGGATGCTGGAGATGAGGGACTGTTATTGGTAAGGGTGATGGACCATGAGAGTCTTGATGCTGCAGAAATCAGCACGCATGTCACGGCCTTCATCGACCGGATCACAGTGTTGTTCCAACACAAAGCCGCCTTGGAAACTGGATATACCCAGCACATTCTGAGCCTCATCCGGCAAAAGGCCCTGTGCATCTTTCTGCCAAATGCCGTGCGCAAGTTTGGGGATGTCGATGATGACATCGTCAACCGCTGCCTGGAAAGAATGCGGTCTTGGAGCAGGCTTGCCATGGAAGTGTTGCGAACAGAGTTTCCTCACCACAGTTTATTCAACTCGATGGAAATATTCTCCTTGAAAGCTGAAAGACAAGTTCAACGCAATGACTGTGCTGATGATCATTTCCTTCGTCTCGCTCAAGTGTTTGGAGTGAATGCTGGCGCTTTGCGAGATCAACTTCAAAGACACAGAGCAGTTGCAGAGCAGCTGATGCGAGAGGGTGGATTAAAGAGTCGCGATGCTTGGGTGCGAACCATGCAACGTTTGAGTAAGACCAGATTGCCGTCAGACCACCTTGGACCTGTCATTGCCCGCTACATTGCCTGGCAGGTTGCTAGTAGACGAACCCGGTGCGAGTGGAATTTGTTTACAAACTGGTGGTTTAAAGAGTGCGTTCTTGTTGCATCTTTTTGCCAAAAGAGTTTTGAAACCACCAGGCTTCGACCAGCGGGATTGAGCAAGGCTTCTCAAAGACAGACGAGGCAATTTCACGAGGAGCGGCATCTGAGACGACAATTTCCAGGGTGATCAAGCTGATGCTGACAAAGGTGAGTAAGGAGGAAGAAGACAACATCATCAAGAAGGCCAGGCTCTTGTATCACGAATGTGCCCCAGGCGGGCATGTTGCGAAACATATTTACAGTTTTTTGTTTTGTTGTAACTATTGTTGTTTTGTGGAATCTTTCATCCAAACCATGTTTTCATCACCGTGTTTGCGTAGGATGGGGTCGCAAGCGGCGAGATGTTCCCAGAATTGACAAGAATGTGAAACGCTCTAGCGCCGATGGAGACACAATGACAGTATGGCTTTCAAAGCGGCGCAAGGTTGTCCAGGAGATGGTCAAAGAGGCGGGTGATTTGAATTACATTGAGGACGAGGATGATTTGCAAGATTGGTCGGAAAGTCACCAGAAAGAGTTGGAGTTTCAACAAGGGAAAGCGCTGAAGAGCCAAGTGGAAGCGTACAACTTCAACGGCCTCCTCGACCATGAGATCACAGATTCTTTGAAAGAAGCTGCCCAAGTCCTCCGTGAAAAGGACCGCCAGAAGGACAAAGAGATGGTGACCGAAAGGCGCAAAGCGCAAACAGCTGATTTGAGGATGACCATGACTATTGATTGGTCTCAACTAGCTGGAAAGGTTTGGGTAGCTTCTGACCTTGGATGTGGCCAAGAATTGGAGACTTGCTGCACTAATTTTATCTAATTTCTTTTCTCATTCCTTGTCTTGCAATATGCGCATTTTTCCATAGTTCATGCTTTTTCCAAGGATGATGCCCTCCAGACATTCAACATGGTGCGAACCAACGATCGCATAAAAGCAGGGTTGTTCATTGTCAGCGACCCAACGTCCTTGCCTGAGAGAGTTCAGTGGGCAGCTGCTTTGGTCGGTGGCTGGGTCACTGAGCCGTCCGGTTTGTTGAGCCACAATGGCATTGTGCTGAAGTACAAGAGGGCCATCAGGACTCAGAAGAAGGTCTTGCTGACTGAAGGATTCCGAAACGGGCATTTAGAGATCTCCGCTTTGATTGTTGATTCTATCGACTTTCACAAGCCGAAGAACGGCTGGCGGATCACAATGGATGCCTCCAAGGCGCATTTTGTTTTAGATAGATCTGAAAACGCTGTCAATGGCGATCAGAACGTCTTTTCAAAGTCATCATTTCTGTCCCGTATATCGGAACTTGATATGGAACACAGCGGCCGATGTACAAACAGCAACTAAGTGTTTCAAGGGGTTTTGCTGTGAGCATCGGATTTCGAACCTGTGCCGGGGAGTGGGGAAAACTTTGAAAGATCGCTGGCTGGTTGAAGCTTTGATGGCTCAGCTCCGGGTTTCAAGTACCTTGGCCCAATGCGTTGGTTGTTTTCGACTGTTGCGAAGCATGGATTTTGGCCCAACGCCAAGCATGGATGTTTGGCCACGACGTCTCTCGCACCTATGGCCCTTTCCCAAGCTCTCTTCATTCAGAAGCCATGGATCGACAAAATATTGGATGAAGGCAAAACATGGGAAATACGAGGCTACCTGACAAACAAGAGGCAAAGATTCTACCTTGCAGAATCAAAAGCAAACCTACTCAAGGGAGAGGCGTCACTGATCAACTGCAAGCTGGTGGCAGTGAAGGACGGCAATGGAGACTGGGTTCCTGCAGGTAACACAGAACAGGACCAGCTGGACTTTTTCATGAACGAGTGCAACTACAAGAAAATGGGGTTCAACCCGGTGACAGACATGCCAATTTTTTTGCATAAGTGTGACAAGTTGTATGCGTGGGTCTTGGGTGATATCATCAAATACCAAGTGCCCGTGTCATGGAAGCCGAAGCGCGGTCCAATCATTTGGTGCTCAGTGAACCAACCGAGCAATCTGAGCAAGCCAAACAAGCCGAAGGCAGTGGCCAAGCCAGTCAAGAAGCAGCCAAGTTTGGGGCGCTAAGCCGCTACTAAGCACTTAGCAGGGGGAAAAAAGGCAGACTGAAGCTGGGGGACAACAGCAACAATGATGTAAAAATTAAGATGGTCCTAGCCATTACTTGTCCGCCATGCCATCCAGGCACGCTTTGCCGACGCTATTTATTTCCTCAACCCGAAATTCAACATGACACCAGAGAAAATGACACCGAGACAACTGCTGAGACAACAACCCAACAACCCTAAAAAACAACAACCCAACAACCCAACATTGAGACCAAGACAACGCTGACATGACAATGACAGCAACATGACACAATGACTTGACAACCGAACGACGGTGACGCGTTGAGTGATGGCCGTCGCCGGCGACGACGACGACGTGGACGTCGAAATCCATGAGAAAGCCGTGGTGAAGTTCGTAGAGATGCTGGGGTTTGACAATATCCAAAAGCTCGGCGAGGGAGGGATGGGCCTGGCCTACCGTGGTAGGTTTAGGCCAGACGGGACAACCCGCGTGCTCAAATTAAACAAGGCCTCGACAACGGACACCGCCAATGACGACTTGCTGGAAGAAGGGTCACGGCTGCGGTCACTGGCTCATCCGCACGTGGCTGTCCTCTACGATTTGCAAAAGAACACCGATGCTGGCGGGATCAAGTTCAGTTACCTGAACATGGAATACTGCAAGGGCGGCGACTTACACCACAGATGCTTGGCGGTCCACAGATGCTTCAATGTTTGGAGTTTCGGTTTAAAGTTTGGGTTTAAGTTTGGGTTTCACCCTGATGAAAATATGTTTCAGGAATCCATCATTGT